TGATTCCCAAAAAAAAAAAAAAAGAGGCTTAAAAGTCATTGGGTCATGTGACCCAATGAGTATAGAGTTCATTTTATTTTTATATTTTTATATTGGAGCACTCATAATTTTATTTTAATTAAATTAAGTTTAATCACTTAAAATCAAAACTCGTCTATATATATATATAATTATATTAAAACTATAATAAATATTATTTTATATTATAATTAATCTATTATTATCTTAATGCCACCTTTAATAAGTTATATTATATAATTATAATAAAATTACATCTATATATGTGAGTTTCAATTTTAAGTAGTAAACTTAATTTAAATAACATAATTTAAGTAATTAAGCTTAATTTGATTAATGTAAAATTCTAAGTACTCCAATATAAAATAATGAGCATTATACTTAAATGAGTATTAAATGAAGTTAAATAATATTTAATGGTACTATATTAAATATATAAGGATAGAATTCCCCTATAACTAAATATATGAAGGTAAAATTGGTATTCAAAAGTTTCTCCTCAATCTACATTTACATGATCCAATGAATAAAAAGAAATTAAATCGGGTAGAAATTTGAATCCCACAAAGTGTAATCATCAGCCCTTTTTCCTAAGGTGTTACTTTTGGATCGAAATGTATATCAAGTCTCTGGAGTGTGGACTAGTTTCATTATTGAATAAGATGCTAACAAATTGGTTTTCACTATTCAATATCAACTGTAACCTAGTTGCTTGACAACATGGATCCAATTTGTTCATACAAATACATACAGACATGTACATTATGCACGCTAAATTTTGAAATGATGTACTGCCTGTTTGACAATCATTAATTTATTTTATGATGTGCTACATGGTCATTTTCAATTATACATTAACACAATAAAATATGTTACACGTATATCAAAAAAAAAATTTCTATTTTTTAAGCACACATTCTCCTAAAAATCACTATTTAAAACTCTTTTTTATATAATAATGATTGGCAAAGAAGCTCTTAATACAAATATTGGTCAAACCTACTTGACTAATGAAGAAACTTATATTACCATCATAAGTTTCAAAATTCCACATTTGTTATCAAACTAATATTTGTTCCATAAATATTGTAAAAAACACTCAAAAGATATATACCAACAACAATGGTAGCCATCGTCATCGGATCTCCGGCGCCGCTAGCAAGGTGGCGGTGTAAACCGTCACTAAGAAATTCTATTGTTCTATCGAGTTCATGTTCGTGTTTATGGAAAAAAGAAAAAAAAAAGATTATTTTTTACACAAAATGGAGCTTGGTCATCTTCCTCACTGGTTAGATATGTTGACTCGATGAAATCCAAAGAGGATGCATTGTAGTTAGAAATTCATAGGGATATATGATAACCTACATTTTTGTTATTTTAATATATTTTGTTGTATTGTTTGATACGAATTCAATGACACATTTATTATATTGGATTAAATGACAATGTACATGATTTAAATTAAGCCGAGTAGAAATTTGAATCCCACAAGGTGTAATCAGTAATCATCAACCCTTTTTCCTAAGGTGTTACTTTTGGATTGAAATGTATATCCAGTCTCTGGAGTGTGGACTGCATTCATTATTGAATAAGATGCTAACAAATTGGTTTTCACTATTCAATAGGCATAATCTTCTTGGCCAGGGTCACATGGGCCTGGTTATGTAGCAGGGCTCTATTCAATATCAACTGTAACCAAGTTGCTTGACAACGTGGATCCATTTTGTTCATACAAATACATATAGACAGATACATTATGCACACTAAATTCTGAAATGATATAGTGACTGTTTGGCAACCATTAATTTATTTTATAATTTGCTATAAGGTCATTTTTAATAACATATTCATGCAATAAAATATTTTACATGTATATCAATAAAATTTCCTACTTTTTAACCGCACATTTTCCTAAAAATCACTATTCAAAACTCTTTTTTCACAATAATGATTGTAAACAGGCTCTTAATGATACAAATATTAATCAAACGTACTTGACTAATGAAGAAAGTTATATTACCATCATAAGTTTCAAATTTCCACAATTGTTGTCAAACTAATTTCTATTCCATAAATACTGTTAAAAAAAAAAAAAAATACCACAAAAGATATACCAACAACAATGGTAGCCATCATCACCGGATCTTCTTCACCAACCCCACGCGGCTATCACCACTTGCCACCACAGAAGAGTACAATAAAACACATAAGACTCGAGCACAAAAACGCAAAGCAACCAGTTTTGTCGAGCTCATCGTTGCCTTTGGTGAACACAACCACCACCACTGAGGCCGCCCACCAGCCACAAAACCTCCTCCTCCTCCAACTCCATTGAAGATCTGAAATCATATTTAAACTCATCTAAACTGAATTTTACGATTGTTATTTTATTTTTGTATTGGGGTGGCATTGATGATGGTTTTGATGTGTGGCGGCTATGGTTGTTTCATGTTTGTGCTAAGATTTGGGAATGATTGATAATTGTGATGTTGGTGATAATGGGCAGTGATCGTGGTAGTGGTGATAACGGTGGTAACAATGGCAATACAACATCGCGTCACATAGTTATTGTGGTTCTAGTAATAAAATGGTAATGATGGTCTAGTTATTTTTTTAATAATGACAATGAATTGTGTTACGATAAGGATATCTGCTATGGCAGTGGTGGTCCAGTGGTGGCGATGATAATGTAATATTTTTTGTAGGTGGAGCGCATTGTAATAGCGGAAGTTACAACTCAAGTAATAGGTTAGTGACATTGGTTATGAAACATTAAATGTTTTAAGTGGTGATAACGACATGGTTATAGAAAAATAACAGCAAAATATGTATAACACGTTTTGTTGTAAGTGGTCATAGTAGAAATAGGTGGTGAATAAAAATTATGTTTGCTTGTGGTAATTGTGAACTATTGGGAGAATTAATGATTGCATCAAAAATACAGTACTAGTACGTCAATTCGGAGTTAAAAGTTTTTTGACGTATTTGTGATTTTTTTCCAAAAATAAAAGGTAAACTCCACAAGCAGTCCTTCAGCTTTCATGGTTGTGCTTTCCATGTCCCCCAAACCTACCATTTGTTACACACAAGTCTATAAGCTTTTAAAACCTTAGCACCCATGTTCTAGGAAATGTTTATTTTAATATTAAGCCACTGTTTGGTAAGGATTGTAATCTTTAATTTGAATCAAAGTCAACAATTAATTTTAAACTTACGTATCATTGGACTCATAACTTTTTAAAAACACGTTTCATCAATTTTTATCAAAAGCTATTAAAATTTTGATTTTAATCCCCATCAAACAGGGCTAAATGTCACGTGACAATCATGTGTTTTCATATTGAAATAATAAAATTGTTCAAAAAGATGTCTATTATTCTAAAATAATTTGGCCAGTAATTTTAACTTTAATTCAGGAATCCAAATTGAGCAATTTTCTAAATTGTTCGTGAAACTTATCCATTTTCTTCAATATATCCCGACATTCTCATAAACTTCACGTGGTCATTTAACGTTAAATAAATGTTTTCTGTTAATTTGGGACATAGTTTGGCCAGTGATTTTAACTATAATTCAGGAATCCAAATTGAGCAATTTTCTAAATTGTCCGTGAAACTTATCCATTTTCTTCAATATATCCCAACATTCTCATAAACTTTACGTGGTCATTTAACGTTAAATAAATGTTTTCTGTTAATTTGGTACATAGTTTTAAAAGATTAGGATCATAGTGCCACACTGACCTTTAGTTGGGACCTGAGATGGAATTTACTCAAAATAAAATATAGCCCGCTTGTGTTTCTCCTTCGTCTGTTCTCTGAAAGGAGCAAATAAATCCATTGTTGGGCAAAATCATTTTACCAAAATTCATTAGTGAAAAGTATTAAGAAATACTGGAAAATGTTGAATTCAATTGAAGTAAATGAACAAGAACTTCCAGCATCAGCGAAAATCTCAACTTTGAATTGTATCGATCTCTCGAACCCTGATATTCAATCCTCTGTTTCCCTTCTCAAACAGGTACATGAATCTCTCTATTTATTTTCGCTATCATATATTATGCTTATTTAAATAGGGATTATTGGTGTATTGTTATATAAAACTAACGTTTACTTACTTGCCTGAGTTGCTTGGCAGTTTATTTTTTGAATGTTTTGCTAGATATTGTTCTTAGAGGAATAAGAACTTCAAAAAGGAATTATAGATTTGGAGCTTTTAGATCTTCTATCAACTTTATTTATCATACTACTCATATGTAATTTTTCTAATAGTTGGTTACATGAAACAAGAATTTTATTCAACTCCATGTTTGTTTTTCATTGAAATATCATTTACATCCATTTTTTCTTATCCCTCATGCTATACAGGTTCTCACCCTTGATTATTTCTTTTCTCCTTATGCCACTGATGACAGCTATCATATATATCCTTATTAATTTTTATCGTGATGGATAGGCTTGCTTAGACTCGGGGTTCTTCTATTTAATCAATCATGGAATTAACGAGGAATTTATGGATGAAGTTTTTGCCCAAAGCAAAAGACTTTTTGATCTACCAATGGAAGAAAAGATGAAGCTTCTAAAGAATGAAAAGCATCGAGGCTATACTCCTGTTCTAGATGAACACTTGGATCCTGTCAATCAGATACATGGTTGGTTTTGCAACCATTGACAAGATGCATATGATTAATGACTTAATTTTTATTCCCTTAAATCCACGCTGAGAAGATAAACAACAGATAACAACCCAACTTTTCATAATTTTTGTTTTTGCTGAATTTCTTTTGTTTAGCCATCAGTTATGGTCTTCTAGATGTACTATTTGCATAAACGTCATATTTTCATGCTGAATGAAAGGATGCTTGTGCAATCGTGTGAGTGCAGGGGACTATAAAGAGGGATATTACATCGGTATTGAAGTATCAGATGATGACCCTGACGCAAATAAGCCATTTTATGGGCCAAATGTATGGCCTTCTTCAGGTGACTTTTCGAAACAATTACTATTGTCGAGTTTAATTGGTCTGAACTAGACCAATTTTGGCAAGGTTTGTTTTTGTATTAAAATGTTTTGAATTTTTTTTTTTTTTATTCTTTTGATGTGTAAAGATATCTTACCTGCATGGAGGGAAACTATGGAGAGATATCACCAGGAGGCATTGTAAGTTTTGTCTGGTCTGTTATTTATGAAAAAGTATTAGTTACTGAGATATATTCAATTTCAAATTCCATAGCTATAAATTCCTAACAGTTGAAACTCAAATCATTTTTTTATTCTAAACATACTATTTAAATTTTGTAACTCCACATCTTTTATAACTGAAAAAAAAATAATAATAAATAAATAAATAATAAATAATAAATAAAAAAAATATATATATATATATATATATATATATATATATATTTGTTAACTCTAGAGAGATTGTTCCCTACAGTTCAGAAAAATTCATTCGAACAAAATTCTTTCATTTTCTCGGCACATATGATAGTGCTCTGATTGTTTATAGTATGAATATAGTGATCCATTGTGCTAGCTCCTGTATGTCGATTTTGTTCAACTTTATATAACAAACGGAGGTCATGCAGCGTCATAGTTTGGTGTTCTACTCAACTCATTTTTTGCAGTATCACTGTTCAGACTTCATTGGGATTTTCTTATATATCAAAGCTCGCTAATTTCTCTATACCTAATAGTAAAGTAAAGCATTACGAGCTTTTACTCTGGACTATCAATAATTCTGTTTTTTGTGGAGAAGTTTAGTTACAGTTTTGAAGTTCACAACATCTATTATATATGAGCATATGAATTCAAATGTTTTTCTTCCTGTGAGAACATATGAATTGTGCTGTTAAGATGTGGTTGGTTCATTGTATACTCTGTGGAAAGTATACCTAGGCTCACCAACCTTATCATTACGATGCACTTTCTTGAAGATAATGTGGATCTATTCTAGGCAAGAAAGGTGTTGATAGAATGTTAAGCCTAACACATTTTACAATAAAATCTACATGTCATTCAGCAAATAACGTTAGTTTATTAGTGCTTGGCCTTCTGGAAAGCTTGTTTTAGAAATATAGATATTATTGTCAGCATTCTGAACCTGTGTAAAGATAGTAAAATGTATTTCTAGTTTTACATTGTTTAAAAGTTAAAAAGAATGGTCCTTTTTTCTTTGTGATTCCTCTAGCATATGCTGTTCTTTGTAATTTTTGTTCACGTTGCATTTCTTTTAAATGTATTCTTCCTGCTACATTTTTTGTCATGTACACAGAGATGTAGCAAGAGCAGTTGCAAGGCTCATAGCCCTTGCACTTGATCTAAATGGTGACTTTTTTGATCAACCAGAAATGCTCGGAAAACCTCTTGCAATTCTGCGGCTACTGCACTATGAAGGTAAGGACATTTGAGATTCAATCCAGAGTAATCAGTTTCTTTGATGTAACCTATGCATTGTTCGTGTTTAACTGAACTTCAGGTCGTACTTCGGAGCCTGCAAAGGGAATATTCGGAGCAGGCGCTCATTCTGATTTCGGTTTGATTACCCTTTTGGCAACAGATAGTATCTTAGGTCTTCAGGTACTCCAAATATGCAGTTTTTAATTCTATGCTTGATTTTTCTCCACAGGAATGTTGAAATTTTTATTATGTTTCAGATATGTAAAGATAAGGATGCCGAGCCTAAAGTCTGGGAATACGTACCACCATTAAAAGGGTAAAGCTCTGTAATCTCTATATATTTGCCTTCTTAGGAAGAAAAGTTCATACCCGCTTTTGGCAATCTTAGTGTTTGTCACTGCTAACTTATACATTTCTATTCTATAGACCTGATCTCCCACCCTAACGTGGCGTCGTCACATCAGCAATCAAGCTGTATTTATTGACTTTCCAAAACAAAAAATGTTTGACCTGCTGATATGGCAACACCGCATCAACAAGTGGGCATTATAACTCCTGTCCACCAGGGCTAAGAGATCATTTCTATTCTAAATTATAATTGTGACACTTTCAGTATGTCACTTTGGTTTTTGTATGAAAACTCATCATTTTATACGGTCATTTAGTGGTAAAAAGTAACCTTTATATGTTCATATTGAATGTTTTATTAGCTGATGCTACATTGCATCTTATAAAAGGGAGCAATAATGTTTTATTAGCTGATGCTGCATTGCATCTTATAAAAGGGAGCAATAACCTATTTAAGTGTAGTACTTTACTACTGTATTGAGCAGTGTCATTAGCTTTCTATCTCGTGGTTAAAATATGATTTCAGGGTATTTATAGTGAATCTTGGGGACATGCTGGAGCGTTGGAGCAATGGTATTTTCAGGTATTGCTGAAATTGTGCAGGAGGTGACAGTTCGAAAACATTCTTATTAAGGCTTAACTTCTTTTTCTTTGATTCCATTCAGATCTACACTGCATCGGGTCTTGTGTCGTGGCCAAGAAAGATATTCTGTAAGACTTAAAAGCTTTCAAAATCATTTGGAATGCTATATGAAGCCTTAGTATTTTACCTTTTATTTTGGATTTATCCATTATAATTGGGATAATCCTATTTTTCAAGAATAGTTATCAACCTTCCTTTAACGTGGCACCCAATTCATAGTTCTTAAAAGGAGACCATAACCAATACTAACTTGTAATATTTTCAAGATGTTCGTTATTTTTTCCGTGGGACAAAGTTGAAGAGTAACACGAGTCGTGCTTCTTCTTGGCAGATTGTTTATTTTGTGGAACCTAATCATGATTGCATTGTTGAATGCTTTCCAACATGCCAATCAACGGAAAATCCTCCCAAGTAAGTACATCAATCTTCAATTGCATCATTTTCGCTCTTGCATAGATGAAACTATCCTTCTCATTGCAGATTCTGAATTTCAGTCATGCATATCATTAAAACGTTAGTGATTCAACGAGAGATTTTGACCTCGCGTTCTGTAGAAATCAGATACGTGTCTGAGTCTCTTATTGTTTGTATTGCACTGTGATGCTCTTCCAGGTTCCCTCCAATAAAATGCGAGAGTTACATGCTACAGCGGTACAAGGATACTCATGCTGACCGTAACACATACAAATGAGACTAGCATGTTTCCTATCGTCTCAATGCGCAAGGACGTTTATGCGAAGATGAATGTAAATACTCCTGTGCTAGTGTTGTATAATTGAAACCATGAAGTTTGCTTTGTAATTACTCATTGCTAGCATGTTTCTTGGTATCAGAATGTTTCTTATGTAAAAAGAAAATCAAAAAGTTTTGGAGTCTGCACAATCAATCCTGAAAGACAAAGGATGTTTATGTAATCCATTAAGTTTCATAGGGCATGTTAAGCAATACTAAATAAAGCTTGACACTGTAATGAATAAAATTTTAATTTATTTTTCTTTCTGATTAGCGCTGGTCTCTATTCATAGCAAGCATGCCAATAGTGTTTTGTCATTAGTACACGAAGGAGAAGAATATTTAAAGAGATGAGATACAAGAATGCTGAATTCTTGTAACCTCAGGTAGCATATGTTATTGGAGACTTATTATAACTTTAACAAGACTTGAACGTAATACACAGCAAAAGCTCATAATAAATACAAAAGCACACTCGTAAATGATCATCGATCCATAATCAACCCAGATTCACCGGTAGGTTCTGTAATTTGGAGTGTACATGCAGCTTTCAGCATACTTGACCAAATCCACAGGTCGAGGAAGTCTCGTTGCCACACCTAAATTACACGCAAATTGTCAAGGGGTTCATATCTCAGTAAGCAAACTGAAATAAAGCGAAAAAAAGGCATTTACCGAGTTCATATGCTTTAGCAGCTACATTAGCAGCAATATGAGCTGAGATCTTTCTTATGTTGGAAAATGGAGGGTAAATCATTCCCTTATCATAATGTTCTTGTGTTACTTGACCAGCCAAAGCTTCAGCTGTTTTGACAAGATTCAGACGATGATAAAAGGATTAGATTTATAGTGAATCTTGGGGACATGCTGGAGCGTTGGAGCAATGGTATTTTCAGGTATTGCTGAAATTGTGCAGACAGTTAGAAAACATTCTTATTTAGGCTTAACTTCTTTTTCTTTGATTCCATTCAGATCTACACTGCATCGTGTCTTGTGTCGTGGCCAAGATAGATATTCTGTAAGACAGCTTCTCTTTATTTTTGGAATGCTATATGAAGCCTTAGTATTTTACCTTTTATTTTGGATTTATCCATTATAATTGGGATAATCCTCCCGATCCTTAATATTTTTCGAGAGTAGTTATCAACCGTCCTTTAACATGGCACCCAATTCACTGTTCTTAAAAGGAGACCATAACCAATACTAGTAATATTTTCAAGATGTTTATTATTTTTCCGTGGGACAAAGGTGAAGAGTAACACATGTCGTGCTTCTTCTTGGCAGATTGTTTATTTTGTGGAACCTAATCATGATTGCATTGTTGAATGCTTTCCAACATGCCAATCAACGGAAAATCCTCCCAAGTAAGTACATCAATCTTCAATTGCATCATTTTCGCTCTTGCATAGATGAAACTATCCTTCTCATTGCAGATTCTGAATTTCAGTCATGCATATCATTAAAACGTTAGTGATTCAACGAGAGATTTTGACCTCGCGTTCTGTAGAAATCAGATACGTGTCTGAGTCTCTTATTGTTTGTATTGCACTTTGATGCTCTTCCAGGTTCCCTCCAATAAAATGCGAGAGTTACATGCTACAGCGGTACAAGGATACTCATGCTGACCGTAACACATACAAATGAGACTCGCATGTTTCCTATCGTCTCAATGCGCAAGGACGTTTATGCGAAGATGAATGTAAATACTCCTGTGCTAGTGTTGTATAATTGAAACCATGTAGTTTGCTTTGTAATTACTCATTGTTAGCATGTTTCTTGGTATCAGATTGTTTCTTATGTACATAAAAAAGAAAATCAAAAAGTTTTGGAGTCTGCACAATCAATCCTGAAAGACAAAGGATGTTTATGTAATCCATTAAGTTTCATAGGGCATGTTAAGCAATACTAAATAAAGCTTGACACTGTAATGAATAAAATTTTAATTTATTTTTCTTTCTGATTAGCGCTGGTCTCTATTCATAGCAAGCATGCCAATAGTGTTTTGTCATTAGTACACGAAGGAGAAGAATATTTAAGGAGATGAGATACAAGAATACTCAATTCTTGTAACCTCAGTGAGCATATATTATTGGAGACTCGTAATATTTGTAACTTAACAATAATAAACAGCAAAAGCACACATATAAATTTGGAAACCAGCAGGTGAGCAGGATACGAAGTGATCATCAATCCATAATCAACCAAGATTCAACGGTATGTTCTGTAATTTGGAGTGTACATGCAGCTTTCAGCATACTTGACCAAATCCACAGGTCGAGGAAGTCTCGTTGCCACACCTAAATTACACGCAAACTGTCAAGGAGTTCATATCTCAGTAAGCAAACTGAAATAAAGCGAAAAAAAGGCATTTACCGAGTTCATATGCTTTAGCAGCTACATTAGCAGCAATATGAGCTGAGATCTTTCTTATGTTGGAAAATGGAGGGTAAATCATTCCCTTATCATAATGTTCTTGTGTTACTTGACCAGCCAAAGCTTCAGCTGTTTTGACAAGATTCAGACGATGATTAAAGGATTAGCACTGGATTAGATACCAAAAAAGGGGAAAGGGGGGAGTTATATGTACAAAACCTGTAATAAGAGTATCGTTACTCGAAGAGATAAGATAATTCACGACAAGAAACTATCTAATCGGCTGTGTACTTACAAGCTGCCAGGAGCATATCGTCGTGCACGCGAATAGCACCAGAGATGACCAAACCAAAACCAAGTCCAGGAAATATATAAGCATTGTTAGCCTGAATTTACACAGAACGATTCTCAATCTACAATCCTCCACAGTTTAAGAAAGTTGAATTGCACAAATCAAAGTTGAACATATATGTTACCTGGCCAGGAACATAAGTTTTGCCATTGTATTCTACAGGATCGAATGGACTTCCGCTTGCGAAAATTGCACGACCCTTTATTGAAACAAGATGTAAAATATGAGGAGAAGTTAAGTTTACTAAAAAGATTAAAGCTATGATAATATATAATCATAAAAGCCATCTCTAGAAAATCTTAGTACTCATCCGACCTCAGTCCATCTGTAAGCTTCTTCAGCAGTGCACTCAGCTTGAGAGGTTGGATTGGAAAGAGCCATAATAAGAGGTTGCTGTGTATCATTTGAACCATGATTAGATTAATACGTGTAAAATGTCAATGGGGGAAGGTGGTTGGGGGGGGGGAAGAGAACCTTATTGAAAGCAGCCATAGCCTCAACCACTTCCTTTGTAAAAGTTTTTCCAACACCAGATGTTCCAATTAAAGCTGTTGGCTTGATAGCCTAAAGAAGTTCGAAAACGAAGCAAAACTAAGTATACAAAAACTGACAAAAGTACATGTTTCTGTCGAACTTAGAGATATAAGAGTTCACCAACCTTGACAGCGTCTAAGAGTGTGTTGCAAGGTTCATGCTCATGAGCCCATGGTTTCTTAAAATGTTGAAGAGATTCCTTGCGGGAATGAACTATTAAACCCTGTAAATTGTACACAAATTACATCAGTGATACAAGGGAGAATACCTTGAGCTCCTAAAAGCAGATAATCAACATATATACCGATAAACGGAGATAGTCAATGTATAGCTATATATATTTGATCCGAAGTTACCTTTGAGTCTACCAGCCAAATCTTTTTACGGGTTTCTTCCAGTGGAACTTTAGTCTATAGATTAAGAAAAAATCAATGAGTTGCCAAAAATCATATTGACAGTACCTTGAAAAATTTATGCACAAAAGACATACCTGCTTTGACATTTCAAGGGCTATAAGCTCTGCTATACCAGTACCAGCCTGCAATCACAAGAGAAAGCATGAGCCAAGCATGCAAAAAATATGATGGAAAACCGAGACTAATAATCGAGAGAAAACAAAAAGGATCTAGAACATGGGCCTCAACAATCAGGAGAATGTTAAAAGTTACTGTCCTCGTTAGATCTTGCTCATTTTTGTCATTCTTGAAAATCAAATAACTAAAGGCTTACTAAAAACAAAGCAGGGTTAGAACTTTACTTCTCCAGCACCAAGAAACAAGAATGTGTGGTCACCCAAGGTACCCCCAAGTAGCTTAAGTGACGCGACTAGCCCGGAAAGCACAACAGATGCCGTTCCCTGCAGTGGAAGGTTCAAGATTTATAAGATAGGCAGCGTTCTTGCAACAATATTAACGACCAATTTACCATATACCTGTATATCATCGTTGAAGACCAAATGAGTAGTGCCATATTTGGCCAACAGCTCAAAAGCATTGTGATTTGCAAAATCTTCAAACTGCAATTTCAGTTACAATTGTACTGACGTTAAAAAACGAAGGCCTTTGAAATGGGAATACTCTTGCGAGTAATTAAGGATTACTGACCTGTACAAGAACTTTTTCGCCATAGTTTTGCTTTACGGCAGTCATGAATTCATGTAAGAAGTCGTAATATTCCTGGAAA